CTGTCCGTCTCCTCTCCACTTATCTGCTCCTTTATCCACCTTCCATCTGCCTCCCCCCTCTCTCTCTATTTATTTTAGAGTCCCCTTCCCCTCCCCCATTTCTGAAGAAGGGTCCAGACCTGAAACGTCAGTTTACCTGCTCCTCTGATGCTGCCTGGCCTCCGTGCTAAGTATATGTTAGACGCTGATAGGTACAAAGGGAATTCAGGCAAATCATCTTTACCCAAAGAGCAGTAAGAATGAGAAACTCATTAGTACAAGGAATAATTGAGGCAATTTGCATGGATGCATTTAAAAGGAAGCTAGTGAGGGGCAGAGGGAGGTGAAAGGAATAGAAGATAAGATTATAGGATTAGATAAGGAGTGGAAGGAAGCCTGTGCAGGGGATAAATGTCAGTATTGACCATTTGGGCGGATTGACCTTTTCTTTGTGTTAGGACCCTGAAGGTCTCAATTTTGTTGCCCCTGTGAAGCTGGGTTTGGAGGCAGGAGGTGGAGGTGGAGGAACCAGGAAATAGTATAGAGCTGTGCCAGAGCTGAGCTCTGATTCAATCTAACTACCCAGAGAATTTCCCAAGCATGGCTAGGGAACTGGATGGGCAATCAAGTAGAGGTAGTTTTTCTGGTATTGTCAACATTTTGCAGGAAGTGGAGTCGACACTTGTTACTTCTGGAGGCCACCAAGTTAATGGAGGTGGTTACCTGGTGGTAAGCTGTGAGGGATGGCGGTTGGCTGTCTATCAAATCCCAGAAGCTTCAAGGTCCAATAGCGTGGTTGTAGGCAGGAAAGGCATTGGCCCCAGCCTAAGTGATACCTCCCAGAGGGATTTTGCTTCTGCTCCGATCAGTCTGCTGTCTTCACACCTCATCACTTTTTGATCTTTGTGCGCAGCTATAAAGCTGTATCCAATTTCAGGCAAGTCCCTACTTTTTTCAGCAACTGAGTCTGTGTGATTAAAAATTTGATTGAAATGAAGGAATTGTGGTCCATTTGCCAATACAGCCCTCTAGTATATCATAGAATGGACAAAATAGGGGCTCATTCAAAAACTCACTCACCTTTTGCATTTTTCTGTGTTAAGATTGTACTTTTTTTTAGCCTGACTGTTTGCTTTGTAGTTAAATCTGATCAGACGGCATGTTTTGACAAGCAATCGTTTGCAGTCAAGCTGATAAATTCAGTTTTAAAACCTACTTTTAAAAAAAAATCTGAGCATTTAGATTGAGAGGAGTGTTGTAGGCTGTTCCAACACTGTAGAGGCACCGGTATCAGTGATCAGTGTTAGAAACTAGGGGAGGGCAATCTAGGCAAACAACACTGTTTTTGTTTCTAGAGTTGGGCTTTATTCTAAACTTAGTTTAATCCCGTGGGGACATCTCCAATGCAATTGAATTAAATAGTCATTGATATTCACTGGAACCTGAAGCTTATTAGAAGTGAGAATAACTGCATTTAAATTTTTTTTTAAAAGGTTTGACTGAGCATGTTTGAATCTTTAAAATAAAACTTAAAAAGGAGACGCTCAAAAAACCACTTTTAATGATGGCTAGAGACTGGAGGAGTTTAAAAGCTTCATGTTTTATTCTTCTCAGTGAGCTCTTAACCTGAACCTAACTGTTACTCTTCTCTATTTACAGCTGCCAGCCCCACAGTTCATCCAGTGTTAAGTCCCAAGAACCAGTTCTGTGTAATGAGCTTGGACCCAGATACTCTTCCCACTATCGCCACTATTCTCATGGATGTAATGTTCTACTCTGCAAGGTTTTAATCTTTTGAAAACTTCTTTTGATGTATGGTGCTTAATATAGTAATTGCTTACTGTGTAATCCAGAGAACCCTTTATACTTGGATCCATTATAAGATAAATTTGATGGATTGAGTGGCTACGTGCTGTCATTTTGAGTTTTTTTTTCTGTCTATTAACTGAATATCTTTATCTAAAACATCTGTCAAGTCCGTATGATCTTTGTACAATCTACCATGTAATGTCTTACTTGGAATACAAGATTCTACCATGTGACCTGAGAGAGTTCATGGGGGATTTTTTGATTCAGAGTCAATATCAGATAAAAGACTGCATCCTTTTCATCTCTAAAATACCCTGACATACTTTTAACTGAGATTGGTTTCACAGAATGCAAAAGATTGAAATGAATTTGTGACGGCTTCTCAAAAGGAAATGCAGAGAGCTTAATATATCCTCCTGTTGCAGTTTGAAAGCTCTGTCTGCTGATCAGGATCTTGACTACATTCGTTTCTTTTCTTTTTCGTTGATCGATGGCTATATTTCAATTGTAGTGGACACACAGACACAGAAGAGGTTAGTGTTCTTGAAATTCTTAAGAGAATTTTGTGACAGTAAGGATTTTGGAATGTACTGAAGTCTGTGGAATACATTTTCATGTTGTTATTTGACTATTTGTTTTTCCCCCAAACAATGGACCCTACTGTCTGAAAAGAGTGAGCATTGCAATCTGGGCCAACTTTACTCTGGTTTGTAAGTATGGCAGCAAGTCACTTACTGAGATTTGGGGCTTTAAAAGCCCCAAAATGGATTTTATTTCTGTATTGTCATTAGCCTGTCACTATCCTTCTCTGCCCTGATGTTTTTCACGCTAGGTGTAGCTGCTATAATGCACTTTCGGTTTGGTCCTTTTTTGTTTTGTAATTATATTACACCTTGCCATGATTTAAATTTCTAGTCGATCTTTCTGCAATCATTGTCTCTATAAATCATAATATGCTTGTTTTTCAGCAGCATATTATTGCCTTGATTTTCTGCTTTTATGGAAGGTACTGTGTATCGCCGTATAGATGGGCTAACGTATTCTTAATTGTAGAAGTTGCTGGAGATACTCGGAACAAAGAAGTGTCACTGAACTCAAAACATTAACGCTGCTTTCTCTTCACAGCTAGTGCCAGACCTGCTGAGTTTCTCCAGCACTTTGTTTTTGCTGGATTTCCAGCACCTGCGGTTTTGTTTTGTATCATTCTTAATTGCAGTTCGTTCTTGTTTTATTTTGCATCAGCTTTTTAAGGCTTGTGCTCTGTAGTTCTATTTACCTCCTTATCCATCAAAGTCTTGATTTAATGCATTCTTTACTAAGCTCTGTTTTTCTCCTTTGCTTGTATTTTGACTGATTTTAGTTTACTTTACTTTACATTCCTTCCCCACCCGTTCATTTTCCATTTCGTGTGCAAGAATGAGTCCGGTGGATAGTTGGTTGGATTGATGTGTGCCAACATTTTGGCTTTGGGCAGAATGGCACTTTCTCATCATCATCTATGCTGAGGATTGGGATGGATAATTGTGTAGAGGTAGTGAGCCAGGGTCAAGTAATACAAATGTGTGGGTGCATGAACATTGTATATTTAAGCCTGATTTATCTTTAGAGATTTATTGACTTATTTGTGTGCTGCTCTTTTACCCTGGGGCAGTTTTTTCTTTAATGGTGTGGGTTGGGTCCACAATGGGATATGTTACATGGTCACCAAGGGGCCAGATGAGCCCTTTGCAATGTCTCAACTTGACCATCTGTTTCCACTTGACAGATTCCCTAGCAATCTGCTGCTGACCAGTGCCTCGAGTGAGTTATGGAGGATGGTGCGGATAGGTGGACAGCCTCTGGGATTTGGTAATTATGAACATTGCTCACTTTCGTACTTGCTCTCACTGTTACATTAATAGCTGGATGAGCGATGATATCTGGAGATTTAAATGAGCTAATGACCCTGGTTTTAATTTCCCTACAAAGTGCCTCTGATGGATGTGCAGGTTGGTTTCAATGGAGGTGAACCAGAACTTGTTTGCAAATTCATTCACTTTAGCGAGTGCATTATGACTGACAACAGCCTTTAGCGTTTGACCAGAAATAAATGGGATGAAAATTTGTTTGTAGAACATTGATGATCACTGGGGAAGGTAATCAGCAACTGCTTTCCTAACCTGGGTTAACTCGAATGAGGAACAAAAACAAAGTTGCAGAAAAAGCTCAGCAGGTCTGGCAGCATCTGTGAAGGAAAAAACAGAAATGAGGAAGGGTCACTGGACCTGAAACATTAACTCTGTTTTTTCCTTCACAGATGCTGCCAGACCTGCTGAGCTTTTCCAGCAACTTTGTTTTAGTTCCTGATTCACAGCTTCCACAGTTCTTTTGGTTCTTATTTAGTATTGACTCGAATGAGGTTGTCTAACTCATACAGCGTTGACAGAGTCAATTTTATGAAATTATCCTGCTGTTTGTGAGCTTTGCTCAAAAGTGCATCGCTGCATGTTGTCTGCAACTTGTTTCTCTTGGTGACACTGACACTTTTTTAAAAAAGCTGTTTCTCTTTAATGTTGGCCTCCAACAGTGAATTATCCTTATGCCTGCATGATCCCTGTGAATGGTGATTGAATAAATAATCTTTCAGGGTTATTTTCAGTTGGTTTCTGTTCACATTCTGTGTGGAAATAATTATTGATCCAGTGACATTACCACATGTCACTGTCCCCGCCTGCTCATTTATTTGTGTATGTTCAAGACAAAGATAATAGATTTCTAAGTATTGAAGATAGCAATAGATATGGAGATAGTGCAGGAAAATGGCACTGAAGTAAAAGATCAGCCATGTTTATGATGAATGGCAAGGCAGGGTCAAGGGCCTGAATGGGCCATCTGCTCCTATTTTAAATACTCCAAAAATGGCTGCTACGAATTATGTGACTTTTGATATTTGTGCTACAGACAGTACCAAGCTTCAAGTAAATAATTTATTTAATATGGACACCCACAGAACTCTGGTGAATTTACACACCTCTTTATTTAAGGATGGACTGACCAATTCAGAATGCCCATAGATTTCTAGATTGTCTACCTCCTTGTTTCATGCTAGACAAAAGGAATGTTGGAACTCCATCTCTGTTAGAAGGGAATAGACCCTATCAACTTTCTGTTGTATTGCAGCAGTTTTACCCATCCGCAGTAGACTGACCGTCAAAAATTGCTGAACCTGAGCACAGGTTTAGAATATGAACACAACACTTTTTTTTTTGTTTTTTTTGAAATGTCTCTCACCATATGACTTTTGAGGCATCATTTTTTTTAAAGGCTTGAAGAATTGAGTAGCCTTGTCATTTAAACTACCAAAATTATTGAAACTATAAGGCAGCCAAAGCTTTTCACTTCACGTTCATAAAAAGTAATCCGAGAAATTAGACAAGAACCTTGCAGTGTGATGAGAATTCTTTGCTTTACAACACTCTCCATTCAAATTTAAAGTATTGAGATAATTTGAGCTGCTACAGGACTGCCACATGAGAGACTGGAGATGATTAATCAAAGGCTGAGAATTTTAATTTGTGTATTTATGTGTGTTTAATTTTGTTCATTTGTGACATTGTGTGTTTATTTCAAATGTTTGAGATGATGTTGATTTAAGTGCTAACAAATAAATAACCTTTTACTTTTGTACTTGCAAAAGCTCGCTGCGGTACTATTTAATTGAATTCCACACCCTAAGGGGAAAATCTGATCACGGGTTGTAAGAAAATATACCCATTTTGTCTGCGATAAGTGAAGCTAAATAGTAACTATCCATATTTAATTCCATGACTGAATGTAGTAAGAGACAAGTACTTGTAGCTGTTTTATAAGATTGGTGTGGGAAGGATGGTGATTAAAAACAAGAAGGTTGTGAACCCCTGATAGAAAAGAATTTCAGTAAACTCGCATTTACCCCAACCCAAAATAAAAACCGACCATGGATCACATCAAGGAAGAAGTACAATGCAATTCCAAATAACATGAGGACCAGGCTTGGAGACTGACCAGTATTTCATCGGGAATGGAGTCCAGGCAGTGGGTTCGGTCCTGGCGGTGTTCAAACTGAGGGGAGATGTGAAACCAGAGAGATTTGCAGGTTCAGGTTAGCGTAAAGTTGGGTGAGGCTGTGCAACTGGAGTATTGAGGAGTGAGAGGCCTAGTGTTGCTTCATGTGAATCTGGTAATGGGTTGCTAAATCTTTAAACTTCCTCAATGCTGCCCTTTGCACAACACAATGCAATGCATGTAATTCAGGCAACCTTTTAAACAGAAATGGGAACCAGGACTTTTTTTTAACACTGTTTTAACAGTGATGTAAAAATTTGCTTACTGTATGTCCAGGGGAAAATAGCCTGTAATTACTATGGGGGATATGATACTTATATTACAGTCTCCCAGAGATGCAACTGTCAGTCATAGTAACAAGTGACTGTTGACTTGCTCGTTTCCAGGTTAGATTGTTTGTTTGTTTTTTGTTTGTTGACTTTGGCTGTAGAATCAAGTGGATAATTTTCCTAAAATATTTAGGTCATTTGTGATTCTTTGTCTTTTTTTGCACTGCCTTGTATTGGGTTTACAGCCTCATTTATTTCTAAGTTTACATTTTATATAGTTAAGCGAGTCAATGTCCCTTTTAAATGACATATTGTGACGTGATTTTTTTCCAATTTCTGTATTGAAAGATAAACAGCCAAGATTTGTTTGTGCCTATCAGTTATCTGTCATCCTTTTGAATAAGCAGCAGATCTGTTAATAATTGCTCATGACTAATCTCGGAGGTGGGGAAAGGGCAACGTTGCAATTCTGAACTCCTTCATTTTGGCCCAAGTTTTGGAATGCTACTTTGAGTCTGTCTGTGCACTTTAGTGCAAATCTAATCTGTGCGGCTGATTTTATTGAGATCTGTACGTTTGTTTAACAAAGCTCATTAACTGTCTGTTTGGTAGTTTGTTGAACTTAAATTCAAAGGGGAATCCCCCTCATCGATTTCAGCTTCACTTGCAAAGGTGTATTTGCCATTGTGTATCATTCTTGGATGCTGGAGCTGAGATCGCCAGGGCTTAATATGATGGAGGTGCTATTGAATGTAAGCATAATGCAATGAAGATAATTATTGTAAATGCAG